GTGAAAGTCACTTGCCCTTTGGGCAAGTGGTAAAAATCCTTAACGTCAACCCCTGGATAGATTAATTGATCTGCTAACAAATCAATAGTTGCAGGCCTAAATTGAAATAAAAGTTCGATTTTCAAAGCTATTTATGTCATTTGTCATTTTTTAGGAAACCCTGGTGAGGGAAACATGTATTCATTGGATTTGGTAGGAAAAACAAGATAAACAAATATGTGATTAGATTTTTTTTCAGCCACATCGCCCAGGACTAACAATAAGGTGACCAAATAACCCCTTTTTTGGACCACTTTTCACTGATTTAACCGCCTGATGAATTTAAAAAGAAATGTTGCAGGAAGGCTGCCATTACAGCAACCGTGTACAAATCATGATCATAACAGCTTGTTTCATCGCTGTTAAAATTACAATAAGAGTAGAAGAGCTGATCGTAGCTCCCGTCTTTAAAAGGAAAAAGGACATCAGAAAGCAGAGCAGCAGCTTCTCACTACAGACAGGGAGCTGTCCTTTGGTGTGGCAGCCTGGAATTGGTTAATGTAGTGTTGACCAACTGATTGTTACTATGATAAGGGTTTAGTTTGGCCTTGAAACTAGTACTAGGGTTGTAAACCTTCACTGTGCCCAGGTAAACAAAAAAAAAGAAAAAAAGAAAATAGGACTGAGATCTGTTTTGTTTTAATAAACATGAGAAGTGAAAAATGAACCAACAAAATGAAACACACTCTTCGTCTACAGTGTCAACATGTCCTCATCCAGAGTGAGATATGCTACGTTCACACTGCAAGCAGTAGGAGCATCAAAAACGCCCATGCTTCTTAATTTTTTATGCTTGTACATGTTTAGTTCTGATGCACGGCTGAAGCATTTTTGCTGGTCTGGCTGCGAGGTCGAAAAGTGGGTCTGATACGCGTTGGGCGGAGCTACCCTATCCTTTCTTTGCCTGTAACAAGGGCAGCTATATTTGCTGTGATCAGTGGGTAAAAAGTAGTTTTGTTTTTAAGTGAGAAAGTTGACCTGAAAACTTCATCTGGGCAGTCAGTTCATTAAGACTACAATCCTGCCTGCTTATATCAAATTATCATCCGCTCAGACCCCCGTACACCGGCGGTGTGTTGTCACTAGGAATCACGTTCAACAGCAGCCTTTGGCCCTGTTCCCTGTTCGTGGTTTGCCGCTACTGTTCGCTGCGGTTGGAAGTAGATGTTAGCGTTTTTCAAGTACGCATTCCAAACAGCAGGCACCAGGATAATATAATCTAATATGTTTTGCCGGCAGATTTTGGCATTCTAAGTTAATTTAGACGTTAATTCTGTTTGATTGATCGTAGCGCACTGCATGAGCAGTGCTGTGTCTGTCTCTCTGCCAGCTCCCAGATCAGCTTCTCTGATTGGTCTATGTGGCATGTCGAGCAGCAAAAGTTCAATTTTTCCAACTCCAGCAATTAATGCTTTTGCAGCGCGTCCCGTGATGTCAGATGCTCATGAGGCGCTGCTTCAGCTGCTCAAACGCGCTGCTCCTGCTGCTGAAAACGCACTGCAGGACCTTTTGCTGCGCATCAACCATTGACTATGCATGTAAATTAGCTGCCTCTGCTGCTTTAGGTGTAAATATAGCATTAGAATGGGCTGGTGACCTTTCATTTTCAAAGTTTGTTATGAGTTGTTTTCCTAATTCATAATAATAAAAGTCCTAAAGGCTTAAGTGTGTTTCTCCATTTAGTTTGAATATATGTGAGTAGCTCATGAAACAATAAAAGGATTCAGTGACTTAAAACCGATGAATGGGCCAAGTACCCATTAACAGAAAAATACAAGGAGGTAAAAATTAATTACCTGGTTAGATGTGCATTTCACCTAATAAGCTTGTAGCACCCAATTTAAATTGTTTTGTGTTTATTTGTTGATAAACTGGAGGAATTTCAAACATTTGCCAAAATAACTTTCAGATGTTTGTACAGGCAAAATTAGTTGTTTATATTTGGAAAATAAAAAACGTACAGATCTAAATATACGTTTTTGTCAAAGTTTGTATAAGTACCCCCTGCCACCTTAACTTGTATTTATTACAGAGTAATTTTAAATGTTATTGTAAAATACACAAATAACATTTAAACACATCACCTATACAATTTATCACAGGCTTCAGAGTGGCACTAATGTGCATCTAACAAAAGGAGGGTACAAGAAGGGACCACCAGTCCTTCCTTTTTTAGAGGTTTCTACTGCGGAACAACCAATTCAAATGATTGTAATAGCTGTGTAACTTACCACCAAGTGCTGCAGACAACTATTAATTACTCACTTATTTAAATGTGTGTTTCACCAGGAAGTGTAAATTTCTAGAGTAGGAAATTTCAACTGGAACGAAGGAAAATCAGGGCAACGAGACCAACTGCATCAGCAGAAGGTAAATGTTTCTTTTTCAGCTTTTCTTTCGGTCTCCACTGTAGTATTATCATTGTATAGACTTCACTCCCCCACCAAGAGAGGACTCACAAACGATTACTGCCAACTTTAATGTTGAAAATATAAACATTAGTTTATAAATGTAGAAAATATGCTGCATAAGTCAAGACTGAGCAGCAGACAGTACAGAAACCCAAAGAACACAACAAAGACAAGAAGGATTCTGGTAGAGCTCTATGAATTTCAAGGGTTGAATCCAATCCAACATCTCTGGAAAGACCAGAAAATGAGCTATTGAAACTCCCTGTCCACCCTGAATTTTTAAGTGGAACTACAGAAAAAAAATCTGCACATCTTTCCAAAAGCTTTTCTGACCTTTGAAAAGTTATGTAGTAATGTTTGAAACAGAACAGGAAGGGAGTAATAAGGAGTGTGATTAAATTGGAAATTCATTTTGTACTGTTAATAAACCTATAAAGTATATGAATGGAAAATTCGTATAATTGATGTGTCTTAAAGGAGAACTGTTTATTTATTGATTCTTACTAACAGTAATGAACCATTGGTATGTTTGTTCCGTATGAAAGCAATTCCTTAGGTTATCTCTAACCCCCCTTTTGCTGAATACGTTGTGTTAAGTAGTGTTAAGCATTAATACTGTCTCATATGCCAAATTATCTTAATCTACACATCTACCTTATAGTTTAACCTCACAATCTAATTTTAACAAGGCCAGTTGAGGTTAGCTACAAGCTAGTGCTACAAAACAATGAGGACGGGTTAATGACAAGAAAGGCAGCTCATCTCTGTTAGGGTTGCTAATGCTAGCTGTTTAGCTAACCGTTGGAAGAAAAAAAAAATAGGAAATATGTTTGAGAAGCTTTTCTGTCTTACCCCCAAAAACCACAGGGACAACGCGGGGGTAAAACGTTGACGTTGCTAGGACCCTTGCTGCCCTCGCTCCCGGTGTCCCCCATGTCTGTCCGCCGTCACAAGCTCTCCGCGTAGCAGGTGAATCCGTGGATGGAGTGAAGGCCTCCTGTTCGTTAAGCTAGCCCGAACTTTAAAGCTCTCCTCTACAGTCGGGTTATTTCTCAGAGTTTCGGCCTCAAGTAAATAACTCTGCCGACACGAGCGGCGGGCGAGCGCGTAAAATTAATCCAGTTTTACTGGAAGTCGGGGCCCGTCGAAAGCAACGACGGACAGGGCCACCGGGGACGCTGGGCCGATCAGCTGGAGAGAGGAGCAGAGCGCTGGGAGAAAGGGGGAGGAGCTTAGGGCGCTGGAGGAGCTAAACTTGGGCTCATGTGGATGGGTTCCAGAGTTTCATTTAAAAAAAAAAAAAAAGCAACAACAAAATGATTCACAGTGGCGGTTCCAGACCAGATTTACCAGGGGTGGTAGGGTGGGACCAGGGACACATAACAAAAGAAGAAAAACAACATCAGTGGCTCATCCTTTACTATGCTAAGGGAGCCACAAAGCCAAGCCTGTAGACTCTATAACTAGAACAGAGGTCCCAAAACATTTACCCTAAAATTAACAATGCAACAAACTAGAGACTCTCTATAAATAAATTGAATTACTTCATTCTATGTTAATTCATAGTGTAAGTAACTGTATTCATTTCGAAATCTATTTTTTAATGACATCCATCATTTCTTAAAGGGGAACGGCGTTTTTTGTTGTTGTTTTTTTACATTGGCCCCTTGATTTTACGTTATTACATCATTTTCTACTCACCTGTATGAGTTTTGTGTCATTTAGAGCTGTTCTCAAGATATTCCGTTATATCCAAGTAACGTCTTCCTATGGGCAACGACTTGAAGGCACAAACTAAACTGTTCATAATTTATCATTTATGGTACGCCAGCATTATTAACATGTAGGTGAATCACTGTCCCCCAGACATCCGCAGTTATATTTTTTATATTTGTATTTTTATGTCAAAAGTACACACATTTGTTACTTAAGTAGAAGTATAGATACTGCAGTTTAAAAACACTCTGGTAAAAGTTGAAGTATCAACTTGACCTCTTTATGAAGTATGTGCTCCAAAAACTACTTAAAGTATAAAGTAACCTTTAAAAGAAAAACAGCCAGATATCACTATATGAATTAAAAGCTCAATTTTTCGACTATTTCGAAAAATTCTTTGAGATAGGGCCAAGGATGAGGGAGGTCTTGTTGGTCTCCGTCTCCATCTACCGATACGCTCTCGCCTGTCTTAGACTTTTCAGACATTTTGACATAGTTTTATGAATACGACATTGTAGCATGGCATAGACAATTCGTGTTTGCAGTTTGAAGAACACATGCTTGCTTCTGATGATTTCCTTTGGCTCCAGCACAAATTTGATGAATAGCTCACCAATCATTTTTGCTTTATTTAGTTTTTATCATTTTTATTTATTTATTTGTTTTTCTTAATTTTTTTATTGTGAATGTAATGTAACATGCTTCCTTATGTATTTATTTACTCTCTTATAATGGAATTTTTATAGCAGTGTTTTTATGTGTGAATGCAGTGTGACACATAGTTTGGACTATGTAGCAGCCAGAGTCTGTACCCAAATTAAATTTCCTTTGGGACAATAGAGTTAATCTTATCTTATCAATAAGTGTTTGCGTTATATGACTCATCCAATTACACTAGTTTTCACTTGATGTGGATGGCTCCAATGATCTGCATTGGATGGCACACATGATGTGAAATAAATATTTATAAACATTAAACCGAATCCAAGAGTAACGAGTAACGTTTGTTTTAAAAATGTAAGAAAAAGAAAGTACAGATACTCTTGTGAAAATGTAATCAGTAGAAGTCAGAAGTAGGAAGAAAAATAAGTAATGGAGTAAAGTATAGATACTTAATAAGTGTACTTAAGTACAGTAATGAAGTATTTATAATTCGTTAATTGACACCTCTAAATAATAATGACAATAATTGAACTTTTCTTAATCTCACACTGGAAAAATTCACCTCTGCATTAACGCATCCCCTTGGGGAGCAGTGGGCTGCCACAGTGCGGCACTCGGGGACCAGTAAGGGGTTAAGGGTCTTGCTTCAGGACCCAGAGTGCAGGCTGTGAGGATCAAACCGGGTACCTGCAACCTTCTCAGAGCACAAGCGCACCGCTCTAACCACTAGGCCAACACTCCCCTTAAATATATTCAATGTTTGCATTGAATCAGAGAAGGCTAAATGAATAAATGTTATGTCTATTTATGTTATGGTATATTTAGTTATTTCATGGGACATTCACATTTATGTATTTCCTGATATGCTTTGGCCCTCCATAGAGCTCATGGATGACAACACAATGATTGTGAAAACCATCTTGACACCTTCCCACACCCAAGAGTTCCAGGCCCCCAATTTGGAAATCCCTGATCAAGGAGATAAAAACTGAGATTCTATCTTAATACAGCTGAAGATTAAGGAGGCACAGCTAGTTTCTATATATATTTGTTAAAGTAAACTGTAATACTTGAAAATGTAAAAAAAAGTTTGGTCCATGGACCTTTGGATTTCAATCCCTTCTGTCAGCTCATAAAGAAATTGATGTGGTATTATGTTTTCAGTAGAGTTGCTATGACAGGGGCCAGAACCAGTTCTAAATGGGCACTTGCCCCTGTTGGTCCATGTCTAGAACCGTCCTTTCTTTTTATTTAGAGGTTTTACTTTTTTTTTTTTTTTCAAAATAAATCAATTAAAGTTCATTTTTTAAAAACTATTTAGAAAGAGTACACCGTCATATCCTTATGTATGACGTAATAGGTTTGTTTCCGCAACAGTGTCACCAAGAAAGTGTTTTTATCATACCAACACATGGATTATTATCACAATACACCTCATATAAATAGTCAAGAGGACATATTTCGTGCAATCGACATATATGTTTGTGTGACTTAATATTTTCCAAAGAACATGCCTTAGAGAAAATTATGGGGTTCCCCATAATCCTCAAAGCAATTTTTCTCCACCAAAGCATTTTCTCCACCAGGGTAAAATCCATGAAACCAATTTTACTAGAAACAAATTTGGGCAACACTTTTTTATTCTGTTCACAAGTTAGTTTGCCATTATTTTGGTACATTGTATAGACTTCAGCTGGAAAATTTACTATAGTATGAAATTCACCCCAATCAGTTCCGATGGAGGTCTATAGAAATATATATTTAAATAGTTTGATAGATTATACAGTTCTATAATTTTATATTATTATTATTGTAAAAGATCATTGAAATGTAATATAATTCAATGAATAAAGACTTATAAATCTCAGGAAGGAAAGCTAATTGCATGAAGTCATTGACTTTGTATCAATCCCTAATTTAGACCAAGCATGTAGTGACAGTGAAAAGGAATAACTCCTTAAATAAAATATCATGACCAGCAGTACCAGATTCAATATACTATGCTTCAGTCTGCTTTGATTGACATGTGGAGAGAACAGAGCAAACAGGCAGAAACAGCCAACCAGGAATGGTTTCTATGGGAAACAGATTGAGTATACAGAGGCAGCAGTAGGTCTATTAATATCCTTGTCTGTGAGAAAAAAAAATTTATACGGACTGTGTTTGTACTGAAGGCCTGAGATTACGTGCTGTGAATTTGAGATATATATATATATATATATATATATATATATATATATATATATATATATATATATATATATATATATATATATTTATACTGAATAGAATTCAGTTGAACTAGAACTTGTAATGATAAAATAGAGAGGAAAAAAATAACATTGTTAGGACACCTTCTTGTTGATAAAAACTAGATTGAAAATCTACTAATTATTTGGGAGTTTTTCCACAATATGTACACATTTTGGATATGTTTTTACATGTAATTTCTAGTTAAACTTTGCTTTACACACTGATTTGCATATTTGTCTGCTTTCTAGAAAGACCAGAAATTTAAAGATGTGCAACTCCAACAATGAACTGCAGCAACTCAGAGGATTAAACAGGCTTTGCTAGAAATTGTAAATGTAAAAGTTAAAATAGGACAGATATCTATATTTTGATTGCATGGTAACATATTTGTTGATTTAGATCAATTACAGCAGAACAGAGCAAGGTTGAAATCAGGCTGGGTCACTATGTGGAGTTATAGCGCGCTATCTCCGTGTTACTTTGGTTTCTGCATTGACCAGGAATTAGAAAATTTCTTTTAAAAAACTGATATAAATGTTGCTTTAATGCACCATGCAATAAAGTATATGTATCAGTTTTTCAGATCACGTTTGATATTTTAACCCTCTGTCTCATATTTTGTTTTCTCTGCCAGTGTTCTTGGGTTTGGTGGACATCTGCAGTTTGATTAAGACAAGCAAACAGTTTTACACTTAAACGCAAAACACACATTAACTTTGCTACTCTCTCATTTAAAAAAAACAAAAAACATTAGTACTTTTGAAGTGTTTGAATTGTGTCCAGAAATGGCAGGTCACAGGAAGACAAGAGTCAAACCCAACAGGTCTAGAATGGAGGTCGGATTGAAGGTCCACAATTTTATCATGTCTGATTCCTGTGTGTAGTACAAGTATGTAGGGGGATATGCAGAGGGCGGTCATCAACATTTTTCTCTGATTTATGTTTTTCACTGTAAATAAGCCAAGCACAATAAGTGTTTTGTCTTTAATTAACAAAGAAACAGGTCCGACACACCTAAAAAAAAAAAAAACATTCAAGGGTTATTTTACTAGCTCTATCTTTTGAAATCATTTTTATTTATGAAAACAAAAGATATATTAATAAAATATGACCATGTGTTTATATCTGAACCAATAAACGTCTAAAAAATTGTGCAGGTTACATATCAAAATACTCCCTTGGTTGATCCTCAGCTAGGTGACCTTTGCATCTTAGGCCAATGAGTAGTTTAAAAAGGTTTAGAGACGTATTATTTACTGCATCTGTCAACTGTAGTGCTTTATTTGATCGACACTGTTCTGTTGTTTTTTTGTTTTTTGTTGTCGTTTTATTGGGTTTGGGTTTTGTAGTCTTTTAAAGAGGCAAGTTTTTCCAAAACCTTCATACCAAATTCATTATAAAACTTTTAATTGCCCTCCTGGTCCTATAATGTCAGCAGATATTATATTTGCACCATTGCATTTTCTAAGCTGTTGCTTGTAAGCTGCTGCAGCTGAATATGACTGAGGTGAGTGAAGATATAGCTGAATTATTAGCAGTTATTTTCTGGCTTTGGTTCACTCTAGAGTAAAAATATTGTTTTC